AAGTTATGCCTTCTTTCTTTGCGTAAACATTTGGGTGGCGTTATGCAAATCTTTCCACATCGTGACATAGACATGTGGGGGCGTGTTTAAATAGGCGTTTTAGGAGGGCGTGGACCAGTCTTAACTTTTATAAAGAATATCTCTTTGGTTTTGAGACTTTAGTCTTTGCAACTTTAGGGATCTTATCTATTCACGAACAGCTTGTAACACTTCAAAGAGAAAAGAAAACTTGAAATTGCATCATATGACCCCTTTAAGCACCGTTTATAAGCGAAAACAGTCCAAAGAAGTTCTTAACAAATATGTTGGTGGATTTTGATGTGAGACAATAACAGGAGACTGGAGACTTTTTCACTGGAGGAAGCAATAGTATGGATTATAATATTTTGGCCAAAATTGACTTGTTTATTTCGATTTGTTTATTACAAACATGCAGCTTTTCACTTCGCAAGATGTTATTTGATGGACTGGAGTCGTGTGGATTACTTGTGGATTATTGTGATGTTTTTATCAGCTATTTGGACATATCTTGGACGACCTGAGGGTGAGTAGATTTTCAGCAAATTTTCATTCTTGGGTGAACTATTCCTTTAATGATGCTTGATGTCATCAAGGCAAAGTAGGTCAAACAAAAGTATCTGCTTTCTAATAACCTTTATTCTAACCTTTTCTCTCTCTCTCTCTTTTTCTGCCACAGGCTGTGGGAATGAAACGAAGTATGAGATGCCCCGGAGACAATACTGACTGACAGGTTATGCTGACACACGCATACCACAGGACCATCGCCAGAAGGCTTTCCACACTTAAACTGACAGGTCATTAAAGGTGTGTAATTTAACCAAAAAAGACTTTCAAGAAATAATGACAGTTTTCTTGAACTCTGCCATTGGTCACAAAACAGATACTCCCATCTTAAACTCGCAGTGTTGCTGTGCTGGGCTGACTGGGATGCTTAAACAAACAGAGCAATGTTTTGATAGCATGGCAATGTTTGCACTTCTCAGGAGAAAGTCTATGCTGGGACAGGAGAAAGTATTTTTTTTAAGTTAAACACTTCACCTTTAAAGGCATAGTCAACCAACAGGTGTGAATAGTCATTCACTGTCTGTTTTTTTTTTTGTCTTGAAAGTAGGTTGTGGCATTAATTTGGTATGATTAATTATAAAATGTGCATGAATGCATTTTGGTTGCAAAACTGATAAAGCCACAATAATGTATTGGGCATTTTTATTGATTGACACTCCTGGGAAAAATCAAATGGACGAAGGTAAAATAGATGAAGTTAATTATTAATATTTATCTGCAATGCAAGAAATAACAGGAAGGTAATGACAGTTTTCTTGAACTCTGCCATTGGTCACAAAACAGATACTCCCATCTTAAACTCGCAGTGTTGCTGTGCTGGGCTGACTGGGATGCTTAAACAAACAGAGCAATGTTTTGATAGCATGGCAATGTTTGCACTTCTCAGGAGAAAGTCTATGCTGGGACAGGAGAAAGTATTTTTTTTAAGTTAAACACTTCACCTTTAAAGGCATAGTCAACCAACAGGTGTGAATAGTCATTCACTGTCTGTTTTTTTTTTTGTCTTGAAAGTAGGTTGTGGCATTAATTTGGTATGATTAATTATAAAATGTGCATGAATGCATTTTGGTTGCAAAACTGATAAAGCCACAATAATGTATTGGCATTGAAGTATATTAATTAATCTGTTTTCTCAATGGACCAATTATTCATTAAATCTTGTAATTAATTCAACATTTTTATTGATTGACACTCCTGGGAAAAATCAAATGGATGAAGGTAAAATAGATGAAGTTAATTATTAATATTTATCTGCAATGCAAGAAATAACAGGAAGAAGAAAAAATATAAATGGGAAAAAATGACCAACAAACACTGCTTTTCCTCAGACAGCAGCACAAGTCTGCATTATCATTGACAGACACAATATCATTCACAATTCATTGTTTTAACTCCGCATCTTACTTTGTATAAAATAAATAATTAACCTACTGTCAGTAAACTGTTAAAAGAAATGCAGATGAAATCTACTAATCGAGTTGTACTGTCTGCGTCATTGGTTTCTATGCTGAAAAGTATGATTAGAATGTCCAGGACAGCATGCAAAGTTTCTTTTGTGTTTAATAAGTGTGCTGTTTATCAGATAACAAAAATCTGACACACTTAGCCTGCAGTCATACTGTAGGTGTACATTACATTTTTTTAATAAAGTGATAAGCCAATTTTAGAGATGGATCTCTCCATTTTAGACTACTTTATATTTAATAATACACATTTACTTAAGTTACATGAATGATTCTGCATTATTTTAATGTTACAATTAGCCTACAAATCATTTAAGATTTACAAACCATTTTGTTTTGTTCTTTTGATTTTGATTCCAGTTGTCACCACAGAATCAAAATGTATTTAACCCATTTCTGCCTGGTTTGTTCTGGGACAGTGTTGGGAGCCACCATCTGCTGTTAATTTCTAAACTGGCAAGAAACCTCAAACAGCATGTTAAACACAGTCTGTCCGGGTAGACCAGAGACTGGACCACAGACTGACACTGAGGGCCCAGACCCCACTCAGTGGGGCAGCTGTCTAGCGGTACCATCTGCTGCTGTTGAACTCTTGGCCCTCATCCTGTGGTGGTCACCAGTCTCAAAAGTTCATCAAGTATTTTTAAGTATGTTTCAGACTTAATTATGTTCATTACATTTTTAGAAACATGAGAGACTCCTTGTCTTGGGGTCACTTGCTGGGGTTAAAGACAAACCTGCAGCTGGCTATATGATTAATAATGTCACGGCAGTTCTCTAATCTCATCTACCTAATGCTTTTCAGATCATTAGTTATTATACACGTAAAGAGTAATATCATTATAATTTGAATCATATACATACAGTACCCATATTATAATCTGTAATCGTAGTGATCATAATGATCAGTAATCGAACAGTAATCATATTATATCTGCCTACCTGTCTGTCTGTCTGTCTATCTATCTATCTATCTATCTATCTATCTATCTACACTCTAAAATGTAAATAAAATAGATTATTGTGGTATGTCTTACTAGAAAATACTATTTCAGTATTTCTACTTGGAAATGTAATGTTTAATTCAATGTTACTTGCCATTTCTTTGTAATTACTTGTTAAATTTACTAGCAGTTTCTGAATGAAAATTGATTCAAAGCGATCTATCTATCTGTCTGTCTGTCTGAGGACACAAATTTGTATAATAACATGGGTATGACATAGGTATTACAACGAGAAGGTGATTTATGAGGACATTTTCAGTGTCCCCGTAATTCAAAAGGCTTATAAATAATTCAGAATGAGTTTTTTTGAAAATCTAAAAATGCAGAAAGTTTCCTGTGAGGGGTAGGTTTAGGGGTAGGGTTGGTGTAGGGCAATAGAAAATACGGTTTGTACAGTATAAAAACCATTACGCCTATGGAGAGTCCCCATAAACCATAAAAACAAACCTGTGTGTGTGTGTTAGTAGGCACTTACTGCTTGTGTAATTTCTGTCACCTGACACTAAATGCACCTTGCGGATCAAAAGATAGGAAGAGGTTTTGTAGGTTTTTCCTTTTTGTAAAATTAAAATGTGTTTTGGAAAATACACAAAACATTTTTATTGTCAGTTTTTATACTTTTTAATATGCAAATTAAACGTTATTTTTTATTCAATATGCGCAAACCTGCATGTTATTACGTCGACTCATCCTTATCCAAACTCATCCAATGCCGTTTTTTTGCGACTTTTCATTGTCGGAGTTTGTTTGTTTATATAATGTAATTAAATAACTTGTGAATATAAAATACATAAATTTCCCTCAAAACATTTTACAACCCCCATCAAATGTATTTTTTAAGAAGCAAAAGTATTACGTTATGCATGTCTCTTTGTAAGAAACTCTGCAGATTCTATTTGAACTTGGCCGAGGTCAGTGTTTATGCTGTGTGCTTTTTTGATTTAGGTGAATTAGAAATAATTATTGCATAATTTATTCCTATAATTAATGAAAGAAGAATGAAATGATCCTTCAAACAGGCTCATGTTCATCTTCTATTGTTGTTTCTTTTTGCGCGTCTCCTGCTCAGGCAACGGCTCGCGAGTCAGTTACCATGGTAACAACAATAAACTTCGCCTCAGGCTTTCAGTTTGTTCTCACAGATTTGACGAGCCTCGGTCAAGGTGAGTGCTCTAAATTAGCAGCAAAGGGAAAATAATATGCTGTTTTACTCTAAATATGTGTTTTCGACAGCTTTAAAGTGATTTTGAGGTAATTTAAGCAACTAATGTTTTAAAACACGTTATAAAGTGTTTATACCTTCGCTAGTTTAATTGTTTGACGCAGTCTAACGTTAACCGTCTTAGCTCTTAAGGAGATATTTCGCAGCAAGGAAGTACTATATATATATATTTTTTTTTATAGTAAAGACTTTATTGATAAAATATGTCCTTTTACTGTTAGTTTGTTGGCCTGTCAAAGTTGATAGGCTTTACTTGCGATCAAAAATCCCCAAAAGTCCCATAGACATGCATTTGCATTTTTCTAACTGACCAAGGCCTTTCAAACCACCAAGATTGGCACAGACCTTCAGCGTAACCTGAATAACTATCCTATAATATTCTTTATTAATTTAATGAAAGTACATTTTTCGTATGGCATGATTGCCAAAAAGTCCCATTGATTTACACTGGATGTTCGTTATGTCGGTTAAGCCAAACAAACGGTTCAAATTTAAACACATGTAACTGTTAATCTTCCTAAAAAGTCACGCGCAGGTGCAATCTCCCGTTTAAAAAAAGTTTTGCTGCTTAAGAAAGGAACACTAACCTGTAAATATGTTGCCAATGAATATGACATTAAATGATGTTCATATACTGTACCTGCAGTGTAAAACCAGGTTGTCTTTGAATGATGAAAAATGGCTCATTTAAATTAACTGACTCTCAGGAAGATATTTCACACAAAAATGTCAGAAAATGAAGACTCTCCTATGGATGCCAATGGCACAGAAAAAGAGACAGCCGATCGTGGGTCAAAAGTACCTGGCATGCCCCTGGAAAATAAGCAAGGATTTGGGGAAGAAAGCACTATGTCATCTCATGAAAAAGAAAATGATGATATAGCAAAACTCCCATCCTCACATCAGGATCTAGAAGTGAAACCACCACTAACCACCATAAAAACGGGTACGATTAGTTTTTGTGTGTGACATTTTACAATGACCTGTCTTTATATGTATTGATGAGCAGGATTCTTTGTATTGTTCATCTTATTAAATATAGGTGCGGTTAGACACAGAAGAATTGGAGCGCAAACGGAAAAAAACATCAATCAGACAACACCAGCTGCTGCATCCCAGACAGTCACCACTGCTGTCAGTAATTATTATTATTTACTTTATTTTCTATGGTATTTTATTATTTTAATTTATATTTATTTTATGCAATAATATATTATTTTGTTTGTGGATTATATATAGTCTGGCATTCCATATTTTTGCCCATCCGGTTGGGAAACACTGGTGTAACCAATAGATTCCTGTATAGGACTTTGTAGAGAGGCTTGTGAATTCTAGTTGTTTTTATACATAATTGTTTACTTTTATTAGGGTGTGGATTTAAATGTATATTAAGGCATTCTCAAAGACTACTTTTTGTCAAGGTTTATATTTTTTGTTGTTTTAAAGGGGTCACATGATGCGATTTTCCCTTTCTCTTTGGAGTGTTACAAGCTCTTGGTGCATAAAGAAGATCTGTAAAGTTAAAAGTCTCAAATCCAAAGAGATATTCTTTATAAAAGTTCAGAGTCAACCACGCCTACCTAAAACGGCTCGTTCTAACACGCCCCCACATGTCTACATCACGATGTGGGAAGATTTGCATAATGCCGCCCAAATATTCACGCAAAGAAAGAAGGCGTAGCTTTTATTCTCGCTGTAGTATTGTTGTTGCCGCTGCCGCCATGTTGTGAAGGCGTTGTGTGTTTCGTTGTGAAAGCGAAACTACTTTGTTTGGCCTTCCAAAAGAGATCAATAACCGCTTCGTCATGCCTGGAGCTGATCCGTGCTGGTCACTGAGGAAATACATCAACTTCGCACTGTGGATTGCCGGATCGGCTTTCACCGTGGACAAAGCGGAGTCCAGCCCGGGGTCGTCACATGTGGTTGCCGCAAGCCCATCCGCCACCGCTCACTCAAGCCAGCCTCAGCTCACTCTAGCCCGCCGTGTGTGATGCTGTGTTTCATTGTGAATGCGAAACTACTTTGTTTGGCCTTCCAAAATAGGACACGACTAGAAATCAGTGGTTAAGTTGTATTTACAACACTGTTCCAGAACAGTTCAACCCAAATATTCCGATGTGTCCAGCGTATTTTATGGAGGACTGTTTCCTGATCCTGGTAGAGTAGACTACAATGCCGGCTGTTCTGACTCACAGACTGTGAGTATGTTTTTTATATTTAAAGAATTTGCCACTGACGATTCAAACGCGAGTTTTGAGCAGTGTAGAGTAGCGCTTGTTGTTTGTCATTTCTCCGATTACAAATGCAGGCATGGTTTTATGTTTATGCGGCGCGATGCAATGCAACGTGTAAAAAGACAGTATAAGTCATTATAATCCGTAATTATATCCCCACTGGATGCAACAAATGCCTCGTTTATAATGGGTTTTAATGTTTTTGTCTCGTCGCTCCGGCCGGGACAAGGCATCACAATATGGCAAGGGGCGTAACATTTCCATCACACGCTTGAGGTATTCGGCCAATCACAACGCACTGGATAGCTGGCCAATCACAGCACACCTCGCTTTTCAGACTGATGAGCTTTGTAAAAATCGACGCATTTCAGAATGGCGGGGCATAGAGGAGAAACAATAATGTACAGTATGTGGAAAATAATGTGTTTTTTTTTTACCTTAAACCGCATAAACACATTTCATTACACCAAATACACAAAATAATGTTCTTTTTAGCAACATCATATGACCCCTTTAAATGTTGATTTGAAGTGTAGGTTTTTCGCATTATTATTACTACATTCAAACCTGAACACAGAAAGCATATAGTTACACAAAACTTTAAAATTTTATAAAAAATGTAACAAAAATTAACAGGAATGCTTTATCAGAGCTTAATCCTTCTGGGTCTGATCTGATTTTAACCTCTTATTTCAGTCTTCTGACTCATTTTAGCTATATGGTTATAGCCACACCAATTCATTTGAGTATGTATAATTCTGTATGTGTGTGTCTGTGAGTGTGTGTAAGTAAGTGTGTGTGAGTGGATGTATCTCTTTTACACTCGATGTTTTAGAGTGTAACCCCTTCCTTGCTGTTCACTTTTTTACTGCATTGTTGTAGCTGAATTATTGATTTTATTTTACATAGTTGCAGTGTTACAGTCACACCAGTTCATAGATGTGTGTGTGTGTGTGTGTGTACAAGTGTGTGTCCGCGCTTGTGTTAGTTGGTGTGTTGATTTTGCACTCTAGATGGTTTAGAGTTTTACCCCTTTATTTTTTTTCTGCGTTGTGGGGGATTTGTAGATTGTACACAAAAATCTTCTGTATTTTCAATATCTTTTTTTACCCATTTCACATTCATTTCCTATGGTTTGTCATTTTTGACCGAAGACCATGAGTGTGACCATTTTTTTAACGACCACTTAACCTTTTCGAATCATGCCCTCAATTTTTTGTGTGTGTTCACATACCAAGTGCCATAAAAGTCACAAAGTTTCATACCATTCTGGTGAAGCTACGATTTTAAAAATTCAACATGTAAAATTCTCCGGTCAGAAGTGACCGAAGACCATACAATTAAGCTGACTTGACTTGTCCTTTCAGGTGTCAGGGAAGCGCTCTGTGATACTATCTAATGAAGCCCGAAAGGAGAAAATAAAACAGGTCAAAGCTCTCAAAGATGAGCGTAGAGCAGCTCTTGATGGCCGACACAAGTACCTCATCTCAATCATTGCAGAAATGATGAGCCTGGGAGACATGGAAGTCGAGGAGGCTATCATCTCAGATGATAAGGTGTGTAAAATATGACACTACTAATGTCCTCAAAATCACAAACATATGGATGCCATGTATAAATGTGTGTATGTGTGTTCTGCAGTTCTACATGATTGAAGAATTCTTCTCCGCAAATGGTTCAAAGAGTCTTACGTTCTTCTACCAAGTCACAGAAACGGTAAAACACACAACTTGATGGTGACTGCAAAACATCCTAAAAGCATGATATTAACAAGCCATACCTGCCTATATTTCTCTACAGTCCCATTCTTGGATAGATACCACAAATTTAGCCACTGGACAGAAGAAGCTGTTTATCACAACAGGCACTAATGAGGTACAAAACACCATTACTGTTACACTTTTAACAAAGCCCTACAACTATTTTCAACAGATATAATAAGTGATAATAAGAGTAATAATAAGAAATGTTTTTCGAGCACCAAATTAGTATATTAGAATTATTTCTGAAGGATCATGTGACATTTTAAAGTATATTAAAACAGAAATCTAGAAACTAGATGTGTAAAAACTAATAGACTAATTAGTAGTAGTCACAACAAGACAAGCCAGCAAGACATGTTGTTCTGGAGGGACTGTCCCTGCAATTAATGCAATTTAAGTAGCTTTGGATGGACAGCATGTCCTAAATGGTGAGTGACTAAGTAACTATATATGCATGTTGCTAAGGAGAAAAACAATGAACTGGGTTGCTCTTCATTCACTGATTGCAGGGTCTTACCGGGCAGTGTTTGTTTTTCACAAGAATCACAGACAAGGCCATAACAACCACAAACATATCCCAGGTCAGTGTGGGTTGAGGTGGGCAGGTTTATTTTTCGAGTGTAACTGGTACTGTTTAGTGTCGTGTATAGGTCATCGGATACTCTTATGTCATTCTCTGTAGGAGGTGAATTTTGGAATGCTTGACGGCTCAGAGACAAGTGTCCTCCACAGTTTGGAGTTTCTTTTTACGCAGGTCATGAACCAAGCCCTCAAATCACAAGAGGTATGATATATGATTCCATGAATTTTATAAATGATGAATGGAATAGGCCTGTATAGGACAGGATATATAAAGCATTGCTTTCTGTCTTGGACCATTTGTTAATATAAAAAGTCATATTTTGAATAATTTTACATTTTTGCTCCAGTAAATTAGCAAAATGATTTATTAAAAGAATTGAACACTTTCTGACAATTCTCTCACCCTCAAGCCATCCAAGATCAGGGCTCAACGCTAAGGATTTTTTTTCTACTGGCCCGGACGGGGCAAATTATTATTCAAATTATTACTTTCCCTGCCAACATTTTCACTGGCTCTGCCAGAAAAAAAAAAAAAAGTTGCTTTTATCATTGTTTTTGATCTATGTTATCTTGTATTCTAATAAATAAGCTTATATGACACCAATATTTTAGATACTAATTAAATTGTACAATTCTCGATTTCAATTTCAGCCAAAACTACTATCCTGACAAATATAAAGTTCAATCATTATTAAAGACAAGTAAACAGTCAGTAAATAAGAACAAATGAACAAATTACAAGCAATAACACCACTGAATACAGAAAAAAGATACAAATGAAATGATTTAGGATTTTATGTTTGTAGGTGTTCAGGTACTCTGCAGAAATGTAATAATCACATGTAAAATAACATAGCATATTCTTCACTGTGTTGCACCTTGATTTTTCATAGCCATTTAAAATGAGTGGTAACCACTGCATTTTAATCATGAATCAATCAAAAAAAAAAATACACACTTGTAGCATGTGCAATGTTTGATTTAAATTAGACCGTATAATTTCAAAATTTGAAGCAAAAAACAGAATAGTCTGACTTTAGCTTTGTGAAATGATGCTACATGAAACACCTGCATGAAACCGAAACAGCAGATGTGCTGAATGAGCACAATCACTTTCTGCCAGCAGGTGGCGCTCATGGAACAGCAGCGTTTACTTGGTTACTGCTGTACAAAAAAGCAGAGCTGTGCATATTAGCACTACTTAAATGCATTATACCGAGCCAAGATGAAAAAAAAAACGCCATGTAAACTTTATTGAAAACAGTCAGTTCCCCTCAGAAACACATCCATATACAATTCAATATTTTGGATTTTCTACCTATATTTCGTGCATCGTGAACAGTGATCTGTCTCTGTATTTTCTCCTCTTTGCATTCATCCTCAGCGTTCTGGCCTCTGTTAATTGCCATTTACAGACTAAATATAATAATAACATAATATTTCCACACAAATGACATTTTTATTATGCGATGCAGTTTGTGTACAAGCACGGAACAGAGATAGTCTGAAATAAAACAAAAAATGCCTGGTCGATCGGTGTATCTCTACTCCACTGTATAAATTAAATATAGATTCATAATTGTTAAAGCTACAAAGTTACTCACCAAGACAGGTATTTTGACACATTTTTGTTTGTATTTGTCCGTTCAAGCACAAGAAAGACACGGAAAGAAACTCAACTCGGGGCTCGGGTGTGCGCGCATTGTACTGAATGGAGTTGGCTTTCGCGCCTTACTGGAATGCTTTTAAATTGCTTGACTTTTTAATTAGCAAGGCTTAAAAATAAGGATGTGCGGGTCTAGTCGACTAAACGGTACAGCTGCTAGTCGACACTGAAAACAATAGTCGATTACACTACAGAAAAAGAAAAAAAAACATAATTATCATTCAAATTACCATAATTTTATGTTACCATCAAATTACCATTGTTACATTTAAAACATTTTAAATAACAAGTTAAAATAAAACATTTAAAAAATAATACATTATTTTTCAAATTGTATCTGGGCATAAACTACATTTTTACCTCAGACCTCGCATGAGTTGTGGCGAACTCAAAAGTGACCACGCGAAAGACGAGTAAGGTGTGGGATTATTTTAAATTAGAAGGAAATGGAAAAGTTTTGTGTAAACTGTGTAAAGTCAAATTGGCTTACAATAACTCTACTGGAGCGATGCGTAATCATATTCAATACAGGCACTTAGGTGTTAGCTTAGAGACTAGCCAAAGCCAGCTAATGTGAATCATGTCATTCACTACAGCCCGCCGCAGCTGCTATCCCGTCCGTGCCGTCTATTCCTCTAACGAAGACCCACTTCGGTGGTGGTGCGGGATGTCCAGGTGCTTTCCGAAATTCTGTTGTCTTGCTTTTCGTTTTCTCTGCGTGCCTGCGACTTCAGTTCCTGCAGAGCGCATTTTTTCAAGTGCAGGAATTGTTAATCGCCTCAGGTTCTGTCTTTCTTTTGTTCGTTTTGTTTTTAGATGATATAGTCTACATGATGAAGTATGTTTTTAAAAGCCGTTTTAATGCTATTCCTTGATAAAATTTCCTATAGTTTTTGACTTGTGTTTAATATGTTGACTAACGTTATATGAAGATGAAGAATTCTGTCAGGCTATTGATTGATTTTCCATTGTTCTGCATTTCCCCAGCTGATTTTAATAAATAAGCATTGGCTGACGTTGAGCGTGTGCTCTTCTTTTTTTTCTCTTTTTAACGACCACCTAAAATTAAATTATGATAATGCGAGGTAAGTGTACGGCATAATTGTGACCTATTTTTTTAGCGGAATTCATTGAGGCATTTGACAGTGTGATTCATAGATTAAGTATTTCAAATGTAGGCTATAATATACACGCACGCACAAAGTTTTTTTTTCTTAATATCTTTTGGGGGTTTCTTGCTTTTAGACTAGTCGACTAGTCGGATACAAAACTTCCATTTAAACAACAGTCAAATTAGTCGCTGCGCACATCCCTACTTAAAAACAGATGCAAATGATAAACTTTTTGTGAAGACGCGGTAGTGGCCTAATCGGGCAAGTGACAAATCCGTCAACTGGGCCATCGGGCATTCCTTATTGTCGAGCCCTGAAGACGTAGATGAGTTTGTTTCCTCTTCAGAATAGATTTGGACAAATTAAGCATTACATCACTTGCTCACCAATGAATCCTCTGTAGTGAATGGGTGCCGTTAGAATGAGAGTCCAAACAGCTGATAAGAAGAATCCACAAGTAATTCACACAAGTAAAAATCTTGCAGTTAGTTAATGACACCCATGCACTGCGGAAGGGCCATTGGTGAGCAACCGATTAAATGCCAAATAAAACAAACTTTGCTGGCCTGATGGTGAGTACATTTTCTGAAATTTTTCATGTTATTATTAAATTATTATATATTTATGAACATAAGTTTTTATTATCATTAGAATACTGAAAAATAGAAAA